GTCAGCTGAGTATTCTATCAGCTGCATTCTAAGATGAAACTCCAGGCACATGAACAGCTGAATCTGTTCCACATTTAAACGCTGTTGCACATTTTTAAATGGAGAAAGTAGGGAAACTGCTCAGTGTGCAAATGAATGAAACACAGTGAGCCACAAAAGGCAAAAGTACATAGTGTGCAGCAGCTTTCTGGAGCTACAAATCTGCTCAATTTTTTATGTTTGGCATTCAGAGACCATGTTTCAATTTATTAAACTACTCCCATTCTGCTCCCCCCACCCCCCTTTTTTGGAGTGTTTCAATTGCCTTTCCTTCTTCCAACAGCTGTGACAGCTGTTAAAACAGTCAGTAAAATTCAGTCCCCTCTAGAATCCTTTAGTCAACGTTACATTTTAATCAGAGGTTGAGGGAGATTTCCTGTTATGAATGCTCTGATTAATTAAAAATTATTAAACTGACATGTATGTCAAAATGAGCAGATACATTTATTGCATGTTAGCTCATTAATTATTAGTAATTATTAGTGCCATTTTATTGCTGAAAGAGCAAAAATTCAAGACTGCAGCTGGCTTTAAGTTATTGCACTCTTTAACATGCTCTGCCTTCAAATCAAAGCATACCTAGTGATGGTCAGACAGATGTCTCTGCACTCTCAAAATGTTCAGACAATTTTTAGCTCGAATCCTCTCTACCCTCACCCATAACACAAGAACTGCAGAAACTACAACACCTATTTCCTATGTCCTTATGCTCACATGTGCATATGCAGGTCACAATATATAGTCAAATCACAATTACTATGGATATTATTAATGTGTCAAACTCTGGGGTTTATTAATTGAAGCAGATATGTTTCTGAATGTTAGTTCTTTCTCTGTGTCCATTCAATCCCATACATTCAATCTCAAGCCCTGCACTCACACAATATACTGGGAGTGTTTTAAGATGGCTTTTAATTGAGCCAAAGAGGAAGAAAAAAATTAGTTTGAATCTTGCACCAGAGCCAAAAAGACATGTGCCCCAATTTCACTGAAATGTATCTACTCTAAGAGGCTTATCTAAACTAATCCTTCAAATCAGCTGTAAGAAGGTACATTCAAGAAAGCTCCTTTGAGGGGACTGGAGGGGACAAAGCATATCCCCTCCCCCGCCCCAAAAAAAAAACCCAAAAAACAAGAAAAGTCCAACTTAACACCCAATTCATCGTTTCTTTATATATTTAAAAAAAAGTGTCACTGTAGTAAATGCTTCAGAACCTTCATTCTTACATTCTTCCCGTATCATTTCAGCCCCGTGCGATGGCCGCCATTCCCTTTTCCTGCCTGGCTCAATTCCCCCCAGCCCTGCGCTGTGCAGGCAGTGAGGACAGCGAGTGGGCAGCTCCCTCGAGCACACTGTCACCTCCCGAGCAGCCTCTGCGCCGCTGCGGCCGGGGCGATGCGGTCCCTGCTCTTCCTGGCGGTGCAGGGAGAGCGGCTCCGGCAGGCAAAGTTCTCCCAGTCCATGTGCACCCAGCCTTGGAACAAAGCCTTGGAAATCTTTGATCCATACACGGGATGACTGGAACCATCACTTACATCAGGGTTATCTCTATGTGCTGTCTTTATGTCCTCTAACATCTAATGCATGGTTTTTAAAACAACAGATTAAAGGGGTTGCACTTTTTAAAGGTGCAAGGAACACTCAATTCAACCCTCACAGTTGAATCAATAACACTCCAATAAATACCCACATCAGAAAAGCATCTCTTTTAAGTCCTGAAAACCAGAAAAGGGACTTTCCACATGGGTGTCCTGTCATCCAGAACTAGAAGGGAAGAATTAAACATATTAAAGAAATCTATAAGTGTTCTGTCCAAGATCCAGGTGAGATTCTCTCTCTTCTAACAACTCACTGACCTAGGAAGCAAGAATTTGGCACAGAATTAATACTGGAGAAAAATGAGACCAGTGAAAGATCCTGAGCTCAGGAGAACCTGACTGTGCTGGGGAATCAGAGCTTTCACCCTGGGAAATGAACTGCTCTGGAACAGTGGGAAGAAACCAGGAACAAAGGCTGAGTTCAAATGCTCAGGAGTAAACAAGTTCTTCCTCACCAAAAGGTCTGAGCTACCCTAAACTCATTCTAGACACCCATGGAAATAAAACAGCCTGACCTTGAACCCAAGGGAAACAAAGACAAATTCCACGGCTTTAGTTGGAGCAAGGTTGGGGGGGGATGTGTCACCTCTTCTCTGACATCACATGGTCCCCGTGACATCACATCCTTCCTGTGACATCACACCTACCTTATGACGTCACATCCTCCCCGTGACACCACATCTCCCCTATGATGTCATGTCCTCCCCTGTGACATCACATCTGCCCTGTGACATCACATCCTCCCCAGGACATCGCATCCTTGTTGTGATATCAAGGCTCCTCTCAGATGTCACATCCATCATATGACATCACATCTCTCCTGTGATACCATATCATCCCTGTGACATCACAGTTCCCCTGTGACATCAAATCCTTCCTGTGACATCACATCTCCGCTATTATGTCACATCCATCAAATGACATCACAGCTCTCCTGTGACATCACAGCCTCCCCTATGATGACACAATCATCATATGACATCACATCCTTCCTGTGACATCACATCTCTGCTGTGATATCATATCATCCCTCTGACATCTCATGCTCGCCCGTGACATCACATCCTCCCTGTGACATCACATCTCCTCTGGGACACCACATCCTTTCTGTGACATCACATCCTCCCCTATGACTTCGCAACTATCATATAACTTCACACCTCCACATGACATCACAGCTCCTCTATGACATCACATCTTTCCTGTGACATCACATCTCTCCTGTGATATTGTATCATCCCTGTGACGTCACGTCCTGCCCTGTGACATCATATCATCCCTGTGTCATCAGTGCTGCTCTATGATGTCACATCCATCATATGACATCACACATCTCCTGAGATATCATATCCTCCCTGTGACATCATGGTCTGCCCTGTGACATCACATCATCCCCGTGACACCACAGCTCCCCTATGACATCACATCCTTCCAGTGACATCACAGTTCCCCCTATGACATCACATCCTTCCTGTGACATCACATGTCCCCTATGACATCAGAACCACAATATGACATCACATCTCTCTTGTGACGTCACATCCATCATATGACATCACATCCTTCCTAACACATCACACCTGCCCTGTGACATCACATCATTCATGTGACATCACACTTCCCCTATGACATTACAGCCATCATATGACATCACATCTTCCCTATGACATCACACCTACCTTGTGACATCACATCGCTCCTGTGACATCAGATCTCCCCTATGATGTCACACTCTTCGTGTGACATCACATCTCCCCTATGACGTCACATCCATCATATTCTGGGATAAAGCAGGACCAAATGAAATCAAAGGAATTCTGGGACATTGTCGAGCCTCCTGGAACCAAGGGTTCCTGCTGACATGGGTGTCCTCCTGGAACCAAGGGAGCCCTGAGATATTTCTGAACCTCCCAGAATCCAGGGGCCATTGGGACCCTGCAGAACCTCCTGCATTCCAGTGGTCCTTGTGAAACTGCAGGCTCTCCTGGAACCCAAGGATTCCTGGAACACTGCAGAGCTCACAGAACCAAGGGGCCACTGTCCCACTGCAGCTCCTTCTGAAGCACAAGGGACCCTGGGACAATGGGAAATCTCCGAGAATCCAAAGGGCATTTGGGGACTGCAGGGCCCCATGGACCTAAAGGAACCTTTGGAGACTGTGCATCCTCATGGAATCAAGGGGCCACTGGGATATGCGGGGCCTCCTTGAACCAAAGGATTCCTCAGACATTTTGGAACCCCATGGAATCAAGGGGCCATTGTGACAGGTGGGGCCTCCTTGAACCAAAGGAACCCTGAGAATTTCTGTGGGAACAAGTTAAGGCAGCAGCAGCTGCATTCAGTTAATCAGGATCAACAAGGAGGTTTTTGGCCTTGACTGGTGTTTTCCATCCAGAGAGTGCTGTTTGCCAAAGTGGAAACCACTTGGAATGCTCTGCATGGCAGCCTGTGTTTTTCTCTGGTGGCTGAACACAGCCAGCACATGAGGGGAGGGGAATGTGTGGGATCAGGGCACTGCTTTGGGGCCATGTTGAGAATTCTGGTGGATTAAAAGACAAACATCAGGTGCTGATCCCAAGAGAAGAAGAATAAAAGGGGACATGGAAAAGTGTTGGTGGAAAAGTCCAGAAATGGAACTCTGTGTGTGCAGCCTCATTTTCTCCTTCAGTGCCCACAGGAAAGGGGGCAAAAAGTGGGGTTTGGGAGCCCAGAACTGTTCGGTAGGAAATTGGGGATTGAGGGGAGAGTAGGAAAGTGGGAGGAACAGGGAGAAGGGTGGAAAAGGGAGGGTGGTCTGGCAAGTCTGATTGTCTCATGGGGGTCTTTGGGCACACGGGACTTGGAAAGGGGGGTGGCCCCCCTGAGCTCCCAGCTTACTGTGGGGTGCTGGGGGTTGCTGGATCCAATCTCAGCCTTGGATCATACCAACACTTTCAGTTTAGAGGAATTACAGATGTGACCTGAAGCACTTTTGTCCCCAGTTTTTAATGATGGCAAATCAGATCTATTGATAGAAATGAATTTACTTAGGGTTACAAATGATCAGACACTACATCTTCATCAGAATTATTTACTGCACAAAATACACACTAAAACTACTCCTAGTACAGGATAAGATAGGATGGTGCTCAAGCAATTGTTGAAGCGATTCTACTAGACCTGGCAAAACCCAATAATTCTTAATTAGAGATGGATGGAACTCCCCCAGACCAACGCTCAGGGGGAGATCTCTGCTCTCAACCTCCAGAAGTGACCTTGGGGGGGTCCCCAGCCAAGGCAGGAATCTCCACACACACACCCCCTGGAAGGTTCTGTTGGAAGAACCTGCCCCTGGGAAAGGGGACTGGCCCTTTGTGGTCGAAAGGGATGGACTGACAGTCACTGGACTCCAGGGGTTGCCTCACAATCAGGGGCTTCATTTGAGGTGGAAGCAGAGGTCGAAGCTCTTCCTGCAGTCAGGGCACTGGTAGGGCTTCCCTTACTGGTGGGTCCGTTGGTGTTTGGTCAAGGTAGAGCTGTGGGGGAAGCTCTTCCCACACTCCCCACACTTGTAGGGCCTCTCTCCAGTGTGGATGCGCCGGTGGGTGATGAGGTGGTAGTTGTACTTGAAGCCCTTCCCGCAGTCGGTGCAGCGGAAGGGCCTCTCATCCGTGTGCGTCCGCTCGTGCCTGTAGAGATGTGAGCTGGTCTTAAACCTCTTCCCACATTCCAAGCACTTGTGAGGCTGTTCCCTGGTGTGGATGAGCTGGTGGGTGTGGAGGTTGGAGCTGTCCCTGAAGCTCTTCCCACATTCCCCACACGTGTAGGGCTGTTCCCCGCTGTGGATGAGCTGGTGTCGGATCAGGTTGGAGCTGTCAGTGAAGCTCTTCCCACAATCATTACACACGTAGGGCCGTTTCCCAGTGTGGACACGCTGGTGTTTGGTCAGGTGGAAGCTCTGGTTGAAGCTCTTCCCACATTCCTCACACGCATAGGGACGTGCCCCAGTGTGGATCTGCTGGTGTCGGATCAGGTGAGAGCTGTTCTTGAAGCTCTTCCCACATTCCAAACACCTGAAGGGCTTCTCCCTGCTGGGAGGCTGCTCAGGGACCACCAGCTCAGAGCTTCCCCTCAAGCTCCAGCCACCTTCCCGGCACAGGCTGGCTCTTTCCTCCTCAGAGCACCCTGGGATGGCTTTGGAGCCCCTCCTGCGGGGGGATCTCCAGCCCTTTTCCTCCCCGCTGCCTTCCTGCGCCGGGGAGCCCTTCAAAACGGCCTCTCCCACCAGGGTCTCACGGGGGGATTTGTCCTCCGGGCTCTCCGGCCTCAGCTCAGGGCCTGGGGCAGGAAGCAAGAAGGACAGGGAGGGGATTTGCCTCCGGCCCACAGGGAAGGCCAAGGACATCCCCCCAACTCCGCCCCCGGCAGGACAGCGGCGCCAGCGGGGTTGTCCTGCAGCCGGGGCCATGCTCGGCTGACAGAGCCAGCACAACACCCGCCCAAAGGGACACTGACTTCCTCCTCACCTGCCTGGGGGGCCCAAGGCATCTTCCTCTTCCTCACAGCCTCCTCCTCCATCCGCCCAAGCTTTGGGAAGGACAAATCCTGATGGGGGGGAAACAAGGGCTGAGTGCGTTGGCTTGGGGGTTCCTCCTGCCCAAGTCCACCTCTAGAACTCACCGGGCATCCTGTGACCATAGAAACCTCCAAAACACCAAGATTTAGCCCAGAAAAACCCAAAC